CAGGAGCAGCTCCACCATTGGTTCATGAGGAGTCTCCCAGGAAAAGTCTCCTGAAGGGGAACCATGCAGCTTCTGAGGGGCCAAGTCAGTCTCAACGCCTTCACCCTCCCTCCCCTGTCATCTTGGTTTTCTCTCTCTCTCTCTCTCTCTCTCTCTCTCACACACACACACACACACACACACACGTAGGCCGTCCTGAGCTCTCTGTCTGGTGATTTCCTGTGTTTCTTGTCCATGTCACTCATGTGCTCAACCCGTCTCTCTGGAATGGGACTATTAACATTCATGTTGGAGTACAAATGTGTGGGGTGTGGCTTTAGAGCTCTAAGAGTCACAAGAAAATTAGTAATTTTGTCTCTCCTTTTTGTATTTTATAATGTTAAAACTGTACACTCGGAAACGTAAACCTTTTTTAAAAAATTATATTTATACAGGGGATGGGGGAGGATTTTATTATCCTATAATGGAGTTTAAAGTTAAATTATTAATATCTTTAAATGACATAAAAATAATAGATACATCTAGGTAAAAATAAATTGTGACACCTCTTAAAAAGAGGACTGGAACATAGACGGTGCTCAAAAATACTCATTGAAGGAATGAATATTTTACATGTTAAAATTACTAATCCATGAAGAAGTAATTTCCATTTTTGGAATCTGCAGATTTAACAAATTGTCACGTACGTTTCATGACCCATACATTGTCTTTGTGATCCATGATGTAAACACTTCATCTTAGAGATAACATGGTGTTTTGGTGTCATTTATTTTTGTTACAGTATGGAAAATGGTTATCATAAAGCTCATCCATATGGTATTCACAATGCTGTTATGCCAAGGTAAACAAAAGTCCAGAAGTGCATGTGTGTCCTGTGGTGAACTTTCTCTTTCCCTGTACATCTTCTGAGATCTCTGCATGCTCTTGGTGCCTTGCACTTTTCTCTGCATGATACTCTGTCAACGCCTAGCTACAATCTTGACCTACATAGCATTTTATGATGCCATAGTTTGAGATTTCAGTGACTTCTTAGCAACGGAAATGTGAAGCAACTAAAATTTGGTGTCATCAGAAAATGCTACGTATAACTGAAGATCATAATGATTTTAATGCATGCACACTTTAGCATTTCTCTGCTTCAAACTAGGTGCTTACTGTCTTCCAGATTTACCCCTCTTCCCTTCTCTCATCCATTCTCTTTCCTTCTCATAAATTATGGTCAGTCGGAAAACAAATTCCAACTTCTTCAAAAACTTTTCATGCATTCAAATTTTCTGGATTTGTAAGTCACTTTCCATGAACCTGGACATTCACTAAGTAATTCTGAGCACTATCTGACAGGTGTCCTCTTATGAGAATCCACTAAAACTTGAGATGTACCTGACAACCAGGAGGCCTGTCTGCTGAAAAGAAGTGGGGCCAGGATAAGCAAGGGACAGCAGGGCAGCTCTGAGGTATCAAAATGTCAAATTGACTTCATGTCATCTGCTGCCTCTAGGATAAGGTGATGTGTGCTGGATTTGGTTGCTAGAGTGCTAGGTTGTGAGAGATGTGAAGATTGATTCAAGGGTCACTTAGCTCAGTCTCCTCCAGGCAGAGTAGACAGGGCTGTGGCCTGCCTCATACACATCTCCTGTTTCATAGGGTAGCATGCTTGAAGGGTACCTTATACTTATGGACTGAAATTTCAAGGTCAAAAGAGAGTTCTCAACTATCTCTAATGCCCCAATATCAATTCTTCTAGGACTCTCTGAATTTGTAGAATTGGTCTCTGGTCTTGCCTCCTTTTTGCGAGGTCTGCAGGTGTCCTCTCTGTACCAGGAAGTGTGATTGAGTTGGCTTAGAGGATCATAGCAAGACAGGCAAGCCTGGGCGGGAAGTGTGCTGAGGGTAGGGTCTCCTGGTGGCAATGCTGAGGTGGAGTTTGGGATGCGAGGTGTTTGAAGAGAAGTCCAGGTGGACCTTCTGAAGCCTCAGTCCTCTGGACAAATATGCCCTGCCAAGCATTGCCTTCATTGGGCAAAATGGAGACTTTGTGCCCCCACCTCTCTAGCCGCTTGGATCTGGGCTGTTCAGGAAAGGGACAGCCCTTGGGCAGTGCAATTGGCAGCAGAGCAGGCCCTGAGAACTCTAGCAACAGGAGACCCTCTGCTGACTATGTCCCCACTGATTCAGCAAATGACATGAAGTCAATTTGAAATTTTGGAACCTTATTTTTCTATTATTATTATTATATTATTATTATCATCACTTTTGCTTTGATCTGAATGCTTGTGTCCCCCTAACATTCAGTGGGAATCCAGAAGTTACAACATTATGGCTTCCTGAGGAGTAGGAGGCTTGGGAGAGTTTGTTGCGTCTAGGATTCCTTTGCAATTGAAGGGAGGGTAAGGTTGTGCTTGGTGGTGCATGCCTGTAGTCGTAGTGACTTGGGAGGCTGAGGCAGGAGGATCACAAGTTCAGCCAGTCTCAGCAGCTCAGCAAGGCCCTAAACAAATAATGAACCTAGTCTCAAAATTTAAAGGTAAACAAAGAAAGAAGAGGGTCATTTTGCCAGTTGATAACACAGACTTTGAGGTCCCTGCAACCTCACAGCACACTAATATTGCTATGAACACTTTGCCATTTATAAGTGATTGTGGAAGCCATGAACATTCACTAACTCCTGGTCTCAGACCTGAGTGTTGAGAATAGGCCACTGTCTACCATCACCCATCCTGTCATGGTCCTGTCTGAGCCCTTTGCTATATAGGTGGACCAACACCTGCTTCTGGCATAGATAAGAAACACCCAAGCCCCCATTCAATGCACTGATGCACCTAACGAGAGTACTAAACACCGAGGGCTTAAGAGGTGTGTGTGAGAGTCCTTGCTTACCAGTTTTTCCCATGTCCCTGCACATGAGAAGACTTGCTAACTCTTGGATTTCAT